TTGATTTGTCCACGAATTTTAATGATAAATAATTTATAATTAAATTAAATAAAAAATATTTAATTGATACTAAGGTTGTTCAAAGCTCAATTAGCTCTTTGTTAAGRAACTTATGGAAGTTAAGCCAGGATTAGCATGGCACGTGTATCGTGTATATAACTAATATGACATGCGAAAGTCATGTCAATATATACAAGTGAAAATGTAGATTACTGCATCGACAAATAAATCAAGTAAACAAATTATATTAAAGATATGGAAAATGAATGCATGAGCGAAAGGACAAGTRAAAATATATGAATTAATGATGTCACGTTATAATTATAACTTACTATATTCGATCAGTTGCATAACAAAAAGAATTGAATGAATTCTATGATTTGCCTAAATCGTTTTATTCTTACATAAGTTTTCTTTTTGTTTTTCAGCATGAAGATTGCTAGTCTAATGAGATTTCAATGTCTTTTTCAGTGCATGCTTGTTTTGTCCTCACTATATCGAATGAGAAAATATTGATATCATATCTATCGCTCATCTTTTTGCATTACTCAGTTATTCGATAAACATCTGACAGGCATTCCGACAAAGCTTGGTAGCTAAGATTGCTAGTGTTCCGATGCTCTTTCAATTGCCGTTCTTCGGAGGTCATTATTTTTTCTAGTTGCAAGCCCAGACAAATCACGATTATAGCCACCACTTTTGGCAGAAATCTTGTTTTAAAGGAAACGTCTTCTTTACCTTTCGATGTTATTCATTCTATCAGTTTTCAATCCTAATATTGCGAGCAGCTCTAAAGCCTTTACAGCCGCATAATGCACAAAGCGATTTTCTATAATGTCTATATGCTTTATGAATAATATGAATTGCATGAAAAGTATAATTTTAAYGTGTTTTGSATAAAATCAGGACGAAACATTTCAACGATTATYTTGCAATTGATTTTATCTAGATAAACCAGAAAACACTGCGCTGTCTACGTCTACTAAAGTGGCCTGTCATAATGACAAGATGACTCTAAACTGTACGTCGCATGCAAAGCCAAATGTACATAGTTATAAGTTTTACCGCAATGGCGTCTTTATAGCTAATTCTAGCAACGGACTCTACACGTATAATATGACTGTTAATGGTACAAATGTGTATACCTGTATACCCGAGAACAMCGTGGGACCTGGTGCCAATGATAGTGTAACTGTCCAAGTRAAAGGTACGAAATAATTGATAACATATACCTTAATCACCTTCTCAAATGCCARAATGGTCATATATATCTCTTTGGCGTTTCAATGGAACATAGTAGATTTTTTCAGAGCTTCGGAGTGTTATATATCTCAAGTATTTCTAGGTTCATTTTTTCTTGAGTTGACAAATACAACGGAAATTGCCATATAGACAACTCGGTCTATTGACCATAGTGTTTTTCTTCACTACATGGTGCATATCCGTTTTTTCACACTATTTTGGATACTTTTATCTTGCAGTTACCCCAAAGATCCGCAKTATCACTGCTAGCCAAGATGTTGTAGAAGGATCCAGTCTCACACTGGTTTGCGATGTCTGGGACAACAGTGGAAAACTTAACGTGTCTTGGCACAATGACGGTGGCGGTTTAATTTCCAATACATCAACCTACACTTTTAATAGCATCCAGCGCAGTCAAACAGGATCATTTGTATGTCATGCTACCAATGGAAATGAGTGTGAAGCTACATCGAAAAAGACGGTCATAAAAGTTACATGTAAGAAGTGAACCTTACAATAAGAATGCATAAACAACACATAGATTATAAAAAATTGTTATTTGGTAAAGTAATATCTTTTTTGACAAATAGATGAAAGTCTGTTGATATTACGCATGTATGTGYTTAGCATGTTGTTGAGATTTTGCCGCATTCTTTCAGATGCAATCAGATACGATGTCGTTTAGATAAAAATAAGGCAACTCACGGCCGCGWTTAAGCATTGTTGCTTGTTGAACCGTCTGTACGTTGTTCTTGAATAGACTAAGTTGATACCTAAAAAGCAGTCAGACTTACCACATTTCTCCTACTATGCATTATGCAGAATACTATATATTAATAAACTAAAACATATTGCTTTCTAGATCAACCCAAGATAACTCAATCTTCCGACCAATCCCAGACTATTGACGAGAACGATAATATTGTTTTAACTTGCAAAGCTAATGGTTACCCTACCCCTACCATAACTTGGACAAAGGACGGTGCGTCACAGTCAATACACACCGGGGAAACGTTCGTTGTTAARGCAACTCCTTCAACTAAAGGAAAGTACAAGTGCTCTGTATCTAATGGAGTTGGACAAACACAGATGAAAGAGTTTACTGTAAATGTCATTGGTACGTTGATTGAATTGGTTAATTAATAAGCAATGGAATATATACCTCATACAATTGTATTAGTAGAAATGGTAAAAATTAGCAATCATATTATAATGGCCATCGTCAACATGATTACAACAATGTAAAACTAGCAGTGTTCATTGCAATTGAACTGATGTAATAATTAAATTATCGGAATCCCTAAAACATRCATTTACTACATGTAAAGCATTGTAGCTAAATTGGAGTGTAATGCGCAAATATAGCTGAAATTCTATTCATAAGTAACTTTTGTTCATATTKCAGGTTATTGTGATCAGCATCAGTGCAGATCTGGCACCACTTGTGTAAGCAGTAAGAAGTCGTACTTTTGTAACTGTACATCTGGGTTAGCTGGAAGATTCTGCGAAAAAGAAGGTATTTACACTTAGTTGATAATACTTAGTCAGGTTTAAAAAAGCTTCATCAACCAAGCTATGACCGAAAGGGAGCTTGGGAAAATAAATTTCGTGAGTACAATTTTCGGTTTCAGTTTCCTTCACTGAATAACAAACAGTCTTCTCTACGAGTAATGGCATAATGTAACATGTTTAGGCAAATATGATCGAAAATAAAATTCCCTCCAATGTAATCTTCACCTTGGTTTGCGATCTGACAACGTTTTTCAATTTGGTGTATTACGTATTACTAACTATTAATTAAAGTACGATGAGTTCTAATTAGATGGAGTGCAAATACCAGGTCGCACTGTGATAAGTTACCAATCCTTATTGTTTATAAAATGATTCTGATAGTAACCACGTAAGGTAGACTTAAGATATGTGAAAGTCTTTTATCGATTCTATTCATCTACTCTTAGATTCAATAAGCACGAGATTCGAGGTAAACTTGGTGTTTTCGAAGCCGACATGGAATATTGCTTTGAAAGACAAGACAAGTAAAAMCTTTCAAGACATCGAAAAGATTATTTGTGATGCGGTAAATATATGAATATAAATTGTAGTTTAATGATAATAATAACTTTTTTACTTATACAGCGCAAATTCGCATGTGAATATGATCAAAAATGCGCCTGTAACAAATACATAGATAATAGATGTACATTAGAAATGTAARAATTTGACGGAGTTCATTGAGAGGCGCCGGAGTAATAATTATCAAAGGGATGCTTTTCACAAGCAATAAACAACAAATTTTCGTGTGTTCCYGGTGAAATAAACCACGCGGGATGTTGGGAGATACAAAACCTTAAAAATCTCGAGCCTGAGGCGACAGATTTTCAGTCTTTTGAGTGTTTTCCCAATATCCCAAGCATCCTATTTATTTATTTKATACCTGCAGAATCTTTTCTGTATATGCTTTTTTGACTTTCAAATCGAAAGACTGTTGTTATTTCTCTCGCAAAACCTTGTGATTAAAGAGATTTATTTACAAGTGGTTCAAGTTTTTAGGTCTTTTTAAGATTTTTTTCCCCTTAAACTTTGGATCTGGCACAGTCAAAATGACTAAATGAGGCTGGTTTTGATAAAAGTTGGCTAAATGTACAATTATATTTTTGTTTAGATGGGAAAAATCTTTGGTAGTGTGCTTCTGAAGTGCTCTGTGATTTCCTTCAGGTACTGTTTATAGATTCAATATTYGTTTGAGTTGGAAACAATTTACAGAATATGTTTCCAGTTCTCTTTTGTGCAAGCTTAGCTTCAATCAAGCATAAATTTTTATGTTTTCTTTGTAGACAGAGTGTTTGCATTACAATAAATTCTCATGGTTTCGAGGTTAAGGCTGCACAAATAAGATGTCGAACTGGAGTATTAGCCGTATCAACAGGCCTGTTAATCAAAAACGTCGATGTGATCCGTATCGCGTCATTGCATTGAAGTTTCCCKTATAATTCTGCTTACTAGCATTTTGCGAATATTTAATTTGACGTTTCTAATATTCAGTCAATATCATCAAAGACACGAATACGTAATTCCCCTCTCGCGAGATGCATGTCTTTTGGATGGTATCAGTTTGTTAAAAAATATAGTATAGATGAAAAGTAAACAAGACGCTTGTCAGCGTGCACTCCGGCGGGGTTCTTTTTAGTGTAGTTTAATGGTACATATAGAATATGTAGTTTCATTTATTCTTGCCTTGACCAAAAAATATAATAAATTCTCAGTCCAGTTGATAGCATGATAATTAAGACTTATATAATTTTGACTTGATAAATTTACCGCAATTATTGCAAAGAATAATAAAAACTATAATTATCAAATATAAAGTAAAACTAAAAATCCTTCCTTGGATTGAAAATAGTAAAAAAAGAAAATGTATTAATATCATTATTATTGACCAAGAATTGTCCTTACTTTGACAGACATTTGGTCCCGGATTTGGTCTAACGCAAAYACCATTCGCTGATCCTTTGTTTGCAATCCTTCRTTATTTYACCTGTRCAGTTTTGTTGACAATCGGCACTTGAGTCTATTGTTCTTTTATAGTAGTTTATAGAGCTTGAATATCAGTAGATTTTAAGATAAAAGGCCTATAGTTAATGATTGGCTTTGGTCGGCTTTGGATAGATTAAATGGCTTGTGTATCATATTAACTTAAGTTACAATAAGCTTGATAAATTCGCGGTATTTTTCAAAAAGCCCATTCCGAAAACGGTCGACATCTTTTGTGGCTATACCGCGTGTGGATTTGTGAGTGATTTGAGCGTATTTTTTGAAGAAGAAGAAATACCTTCGTCCATCGACGAAGAAGCTGATGCAATTAGCACTTGACGCATGGGACGAGACAAGACAGGCTAGGAACGCCTCAAATGCTAATTTTGCAAAAACATTATTATTTTTATGGTGCGTGTGTATTCGTTGTTTTAATTCATTTCACATTGCAATATTTCTAGTAAAGGCAGTTTGGATAGTAAAGTTGATCTTCAATTTAAAGAGTCAAAACTCGAGAGCATGGTGGAAAAAGCCATAAAAGACGCAGCTGTTAACGGAACAAAGCTCTCAGATAACTTGATATTGAAAAACTCGGGAACAATTACAGCRTCCATCTTCGGTAAGTATGCTGTACAAGAAACGTCATGACAAAAATTCTCGTACAGTTCATGTGATACCATTRCTCGCGTAGATGATTGATTGATWTYTTTTATTAAAAGGTACGGCTTGCTCCAAAGAGCCCTGCAAATATGATGGCGTATGTAAGGAAGAAGGCGATGGCTACAAGTGTGAATGCAAAATCTTTAGRCAYGGAGAAAATTGTGAAAAAGGTATTTCATCAGAAAAAAAATCCGTCATGCAACTTCAACGAAGCACTAATTATAAACATTTGRTGATTTTTCATTTTTTAAATTGAAAATGAAAATTTGGTTCAGTWCTCAGGGAAATAGTATAGACGCTTCAACAAAACYCATTTTCTGGATGTCCTTTGTAAAACCATTCCCTTCATTCTAGAAGYGAGTGAAGTTTGCTATAGATTCACTGAATGTCTTTTGTTGTTAAACCAGGTATTGGAATGATTCCTGGAATCATCATTATTGTGGCTTGTTTCCTGCTTATCATAATCGTACTTGTCCTATTGTGCCTCTACTGTAGACGGAACAAATCGAACTCCTACGAAAAAGGTAAGTATTTATTGCTTTTAATAACTTCGTACTGTCAAAAGTTTGGCATCTTCTTCAATTTTAATGTGCGATGAAAACTAGTTATCGTTTTAATATTTCTCCTATCTCTGTTCTATCTTTTTTTAACTTTTTGCTATTTGTTTCTTTTTTGATTGTTTGTCTTATATCGTTACAGATATCGCAGAAAGCGCAACAAAAATGTAAGTGTAGGTGGTTTGGAATAGGAGTCATAAGACATTCAACTGGAAAGCGGGAAAGTCCAATGGAYAATATGTCTATTTAGTGACTGATATGTAAACTTTAACATTTTTCCCCTCATTTCACGTGCCAGTTACCATCAGGCGACAGAAGAACAAAACAATAGAAACTAACATAGTGCCCCCAGACTTATCCTGACAGAATTTAGAATTTACAGTCGGTCATTAACGTTGAAATTATATATTTTTTAATTTGATACAGGGAGGAAATTCGCTATACATCTACCAAAGATCACGTGGCAGCTTCTGAGAACTAYTCATTTGAAGAGGAATATTTAAGGAAAGGACGCTATGTAAGTGCTTTATTTGATTTATTGTCCTGAAATATTTGCGTGTTTTTTGACGATAGGTTGTTATGAGGCATGTTATTAAAGACTGTGTGATAATAAACTATATGTGCCAGTAAAGGTGCAAGTTAAGGTGATAAAGTGTTACCAGGAGCGACATTTTCGCAGAGTTTCGTTCTAAGGGCCTGATTATATGAAGCGGGCTGGCCCGGTTGACCGGCTGGCTCGGTTTGCCGATATCTTTATTTATTCATCCCGTCTCGCGATTATATGAGACAGGATTAGTACCCCAGCTGAATCAATTAAGTATTGCCGCGAAGGATTGTTTAAAAAAAAAATAAATCTCCACAAAATGGAGATAACAATTTGACCAGGATAAGGAAGTTTGTTCGCGAGTGTTAACACAATTTTTGTATGCTCTTTTAGCTGCTTTTCCATTTTTATGGAGTACTGCAACTTTATATGCTTCAAAGAAGGCTGTTAATTAATRACGTAATAACTTCTAAAGCAGAATCGTATAAGACAGTGCTAAGAAAGGCAAAATTACGACGATTGACGTCCTTGCGCTCAAGACATGTGTTGTACGCAAAACAAATGACGCACTTCTGGACAGCAGGCGCACTAAAGCGGGCCAGMCCGCTTGACTTTCGATTATATGGGAAATTTTYAGCMCGGTCTGCCGGGATCCCGGTTGTGGATTACCGAGATCTCGGCAAACCGGGCTGGCTCGCTTTCCATGTAATCGCACAGCCGGAATCTTTTGTATTTCAAGACAAACCCTAAATTGTTGGAATTGTTAACTAGGGATCTGAGAGCTCTAGTAGACCGTCAGTCGTCATCTGATTTACGTCGTATACGATATTAGCACGCGAAGAGTTTCTGCATGTGTAATACGTTTGTGACAGACTTTTAAGCGATGCAACAGGATTTCCCGCRAGGGGTTGCAGTTTTGAAAATATATTTATTGTCCTTGAGCTAGCAATGCAATAGATTCCACGCATAGCAGCTTAGCACCTTTGGGACCCTGAGGAAAAATTGCACTATTTCTCGAAATCAGCTTTATGTTCATTTTGTTCCACTTTGACAAATTAGTGGGCAGAAGGAAAAGAATTTCTTCTTTTTCCTTTTAAAATTCTGTTCAATATACAAAAAATGGAAATGAAACATTTTATATATACATGTATATGAAACATTGATCAAGATTTGGTRTAATAAGGCGTAAATAACCTGCACAGTGAATGTACAGCAGAGAAACAGGCCAAGTGCATATCRGATAGTCATATGAGAGTAAATAACAATCACATTCTTTTCATTTTCAGAAAATTGATTTTAGATCGATGCATGTTTATTGACAATTCAATGAACATTTCCTGGTTGCTTTCCTTGCTTATTAGTTTCGTTAACKTTTTAATAATATACATGAAAAAATTACTCAATTCTGATTGGCTGATAACATCTCAATTAATTCTTAATTCAGTGCAATTACATTTCTGCAGTGCAGAAATCGTTTGTTTTTCAAAGAGCCAATTATGGCCTCTTCGAAAAACAAACTCGTGCAAATTAATTCCAAATTGAACTCGAAACCATCTTATTACCTATACAAACAGCACAGTTATTAATAATATTTGAACTATTTTTCTTGTGATCGAATTAATTCATGCCTATTTTTTGAACTAAAAAAGTAATAATCAATGTTTTAACAATATCCTTAACTGTGATTCGTAAAATGTTAACAACACTAAACATAAAGTAAAGACTGTGATTTTTTTCAATGCCCATTGACAAACGTTTGTGTTACTTAAAACGTCATCATACATATATACTCTAAAACATATCTCATAAATAGTATTAAATTTCTTGTCTAATATGTTTACGGATAATGCATGTCCACATAAAACCACTAACTTAGATTATGCATGTCCACATAAAACCACTAACTTAGATTATGCATGTCCTCATAAAACCACTAACTTAGATTATGCATGTCCTCATAAAACCACTGACTTAGATTACGCATGTCCTATATAAAAACTAACTCAATAAAACTGACAAACGAATGCATGCACGTAAACAATTAATATGATGAGGTGTAAGTTAGTCTTGTACACCTTTCAGATGCAGACATCGTGATCAACATTAACAAATTAAATGAGAAAAGGTAAGATGGCGGAATGATTGGATATTATCTTTTCTAATAATGCTACCATATGTTGATGTTATGATCACATGTGCAAACATCACTGGAAATCATCCACATCAAATTTACAGAATTTTGGACACTTAATCATATTTACATCAAATTTACAACCTTTAAAGCACGCGATTTTTTCCAGTACATGCAGGGACTATTAGAGCTATTTGATGGTAAAACAGCTCTAATTGATTTAACATTAATGAAAACAGATGAAATTAACATTGCACTCACAGAGCTGTTACACTGTGCTATTATCCCAGCAATTTGTCTCAAAACTGCGTCGCGAAACATGTTTCTAGGGACTCGTAAATTGCAAGAGGGGTTGTCGAGAAATCACTCTTGCGCTTATGCATCTTGTACATGATTCAAATATTGAGGAAAGTTGCTAAAGTAGTAGCATTGCATTCTTGGATTTCCTAGACGTAGAGCTTCGTTATGCTTCGTCTAACACAAAAGAAATACAGGGCAACTTGTGTTGTACTGTGAATTACCAAGSGCCATTGCCAGATAAAGTTGCTGAGAAAATTGCACAGAGTGTAACAAAGCACAGAGTGTAACAAAGCCTGCTTTCGCACTTTGCAATCAAATTTTGTTTCAAGGAACAAATGAGCAATCTAATTCTAAAGCTACTTTATATTTTAAATATTTTGGGGCTGTAAGTGTTTTTAGACTATTAAAAAATAATCAAGGAATATAAAAGTACTAAGATTAACACTTTAACATCATCTGATTATCTGCTCTTTTGATCCTTTCACGTTTTGAATACATTTGTCTTTAAATACATTTGAATATAAAAGTTGACAAACTAAAATTTAAAAGCGAATCTTAGGTTTTAAAGCACAGTGAAAAATGAAGTAAAATTTCACTTGGTTTTTAGATGACAATGTAATATCTCGGGACGATTTTTCATCACTTGATATTTGTAAATCTTTACTGAAGAACAATAATGTCAGACATGTAGTATTTTTTATTATGATCGCAAAAGGGATGCAACAAATGAAATTTTGGTCTGAAATCGAACTTGCAAATATACAATTTCCACTCGCTATTCGAAGTCGCACTGTTTTGTAATGCGAATTGATTAATTGTAATAATACATTGAATTCCACTTTTTATTCCAAAATTAAGCGACTGAAAATGATCTATTTTGAGATATTTTGAGATATTTATTCTTTCTAAGGATATTTTAGTAAGTAATGTTTTTCACATGTCATTTACTCTCACGTACGAGGATGCGCTGCCATTTGCAGCTCGTCCTATTGTAATTACTCCAGTTACGCTTTCTCTCACCGAGGTCCTTCACTCTGGCGGTCGATCATGCATTCGCAAAAGCCCCATTTAATAGATTGACTATGGCGCCTTTCCAATTTTTGTCAGTAACATTTTGGACTCTTTAATAAGGCCTGTATAGCTTTCTACTACGCATCGTCCTTTGAATGTTTGATTTGTCTCCGTATAAAGTGAATTATGTGTTTATTTTGAACGAATGACAAATAAAACAACGATTTGCTTATCATATCCAAATGTTTTGTATTTTTCAGGAAGATCCACTTGAAATACAAAAAGAAAGCSAAAAGGAAAAAGAAAGAGAAGTCAACAATGGAAGCGTTACATTTCAAACTTTTAACAAGCACGACGACGAACAACCAGTAAAGACAACCTCTCAAGGTGCACTTTATACTGATATTATCTCTGCAATGATGAATACACCTGATGAATTACAGAACGACGAAAGCATACTCGTGGAAGGTACCATTRACAAGGAAGATGAGAATAAGAACATTGAAATGAAAGATGTAAAGCCACATTGTGATGATAGTCCACTAATAGTCTATTCACATGAGCCGCCAAAAGACGAACACACTAATGACGAAGTGATGAGCGACAAACAAGATGAGAATGCGCCTGYACAGCTTACGGATRCTAATATGGATGACGACCAGAGTACGCCGACCAAACCTGTCATGGATTATAATGTAGACGAAAATGAGCCCGCACAAGTTCTAGAAGAGGAAGGAATCGAAAATGCGTATGTGATTCACAATGGCAGTTGGATGGATCCAAAGGAAAGTGAAAGTTATTTATATCCTCATTTAAACCTGTCTGACAGTAGAATGTAGTCCAAACAACACCGAGCATAAACAGCTTCATAAAAAAGTATCGAAACTAGACAACATGAAAGTCAACATCAAATAAGGTTTGAGTGGTCCAACAAATCTAAAATGAATGGTTCTTGCCATATGTTGAGGAAATATGCRAGCCTAAATTTGATTTAAGCRCTGGAATTTCTCAYTAGAATATCCCTCACACTGATGATCTATATCTCCTTTAGTTTCGGTACTTTTTTTAGCGTCGTCACTCGTTGCTGGAAAGCTGGATTATAAATCAAAAGCTCATAATGTGGCTCAAAACGTTTTTATATGGCAAATTTTTATTTTATATAAACAAATTGTCAGTATCAAACACGAATAAACACTGTACAATCACTTTTCTAGCACTGACAATAAAACATGAATGCAYCAACAATGTACCAACATACTACTCTCACGATACAATAATTAATATGCAAAAACTGACAACATGTTAACGCGCAATGCATGCATGGTACCACCAGTACACAAGATAACAACATTGTACCATCACTAGACAACAACTTAGTACCAAAACTGGACGACATACTTATACAATGATCACCTATGTACGGATACTGCAAAATAGATAATATAAGTACAGTGTGCTAAAAATGTTTTTACAAATCTCAAAAGTAGATGTTTTTGATTCAAAGGTGTCTTCAATTTTTTCGAAGATAATATTCCAAAAACAAACTAAAGTTAAGTGAGCTTAACGTCATTAATAGACATTTTATTGACTGTCCGTTATATGTCTTTTTTATSTTTTTTTTATAACCCATCAATGTTTGGAAAATGCAGTAATGATCCAAAAATTTMATATAGTATCGATTCCTAAGCGAGGAAGGAAACCGGATGCATAAAATCAATTAGTTTTCCTTTGATGTTTAGATAAAATAAGCAATAGAATGATATATTTTGAGTATCGCAAGTCAGCAATTTCAGCGTAAAGATTGCGTTTTAATGTTTTAATTTAGTTTATTTTGACCTTAATATTTAATTAATGGGTTCAGAGTGAAGTCAAAAAAACCCGTGAAATGGGCATTACACTAATACACTTTAGTACCCTCTAATTGCATTGTTTTTCTATTTAACACTTTAATATTCAAGGTTTGTTTCACGGGTTTCATGACTTCATTCTAGTCATGTAGAGTTTCAAATGATTAGTGTATCAGAAATTAATCTTCATTGACTGAATGATCAATCACATTTCTCACACTTTAAAACTTTTTTAGTTAACATTGGCAGAAGAAATGTGCAGATTATATTGTGATAAACTACGTGCATGGCTGACGATATCAATTTTTTATTTATAAAGTGCTAGGTGTATCAAGACCTGCGATGCTGCAAAGCCCGAGGGCTCTGGTACTACAATGCATTTTGAGAAGAATGTATAATTTTCTTTTAATAAAACTCTAAAATATTTGTAAGTCAAAAAGCTTGTCGTTTAACAAGAGTAGAGTGATTTTATTTAGATTTCATATTGTAGGACGTCAAAATAATTTATAATAAATAATAATTTATTTAGATTGCCATAGTATAATAGAGCCAATAGTAGCAGATTGTTCAATCACTGCGGCTCTAGAGTGATCGCACTTTTAAAAACCGTGCAATTGTGTGTACAAAATGAACAGTGCTAAATTTAGTTGTTTTTGGTAAATCATGCATGCGGTGCGCAAATAAAATTGAATTGATACAAAACGAAGCATTCAATACCGTCTTGCTTCAGGTCCGCTTTTAATACAAATTAGTACTACTTAGATTTTGCACAGTTGCACGGTTTAGAGTGGTTTTCATTAGCCTGTGAAACACACTTTAGCGTATTTATCGCTATTACACTTTGGCTCTTTTTTTTAGAGTGGTTTTCATAAACCCGTGAAACACACTTTAGCGTATTTATCGCTATTACACTTTGGTTCTTTTGTTTTTTATTGTGTCTACGCGACTATTACGATCTATTACACTCTAATTATTACACTTTGTTTCACGGGTTTATGAAAAACACTATTAGTGCGATCACTATAGCAAAAGTACATGCACAAAATCCGTGAAGCAAATATTACTAATTCAAATGCTACTAATATAATGTTCAGAGTGAAGTCAAAAATCCCGTGAATATCGAACTAACATACCTTACAGTACGCTCCTGTATTTTCTTTAGTATCTATTTGACAACCACTTCAAGTCCACTTTTAGTACAAATTAGTACTACTTAGACATGCTTAGATTTTGTACAGTTGCACGGTTTTTATCCGTGCAACTTTACAAACTAAARTAGTGCTATTTATAGTTGTATTTAGTTTCAAGTCCACTTTTAGTACAAATTAGTACTACTTAGACATGCTTAGATTTTGTACAGTTGCAGGGTTTTTATCCGTGCAACTGTACAAACTAAAATAGTGCTATTTAGTTGTATTTAGTAAATCGTGCATGCGGTAGAGTGAACGCACTTAATCCGTGCAACTGTACAAAATCACTTTTGTTATACAAGTCAAATGATTTCACTCTATACTAGAGTAGTTCTCAAAACCCGATCTGTCTTGAGAATCTAAATTCATTCCTTCCATTTTGTTTTTATTGACTATCAAATAGGATTAAAAATGGTTTTGTTTATTTCTCGGGTGTTTGAAAAGAACTAAAATAATGATCACCCTATGTAAAAAAAATATTTTAAGTTTGCACTCTTTTAGTAACAATCATCGTACAAAATCCAAATTCATATGCATTTCTCAAACTGATCATCTCTCAGGGTATATATTAATCATTTTCAATCATTCCCATGAGATTTAAGATTTTTTGCGGCCATGTTGCATGAGAAATCCTTTGTTGAAGCTCATCCAACATGGCCGCTGTGACCGTATATTGAAAATAAACCACTCTTCTCCTGCTATCTTCTAAGGTCGATTAAGGTCGGTGCTCCGACTAAGAATAGCACATGCAGAACACAAAGAATACGTTTGCATTTTTCGATTGTTAGTGACACTCGAATAGCTTTCAAAAAGCTTCATAGGTCATCTTTGATCCTTACTCTACGTGAATTTAAAATATTATATTAAACGATACTTTTTATATACCAAAGTACTAACATCGAATTTATGCGATTTTCATACAAAAAATTAGGACGGTATAAACATTTTTAAAGTGTTGGCTTTGTATGATAATTGTACTGCATATCAGGACTTTAAATAACTGAATGAGTCTATGGTGAATAGAATTGGCACGCACAAACACAAAAATAAAGAATCCATTGAAACTTGTATCAGTTGTCTTTCTTTTAGTTCAGAATTACATCATTTAAGCCTGGTTTTTGCTGCACTATAAGCGTTCACAGTAACTTTTGGGATTAGTAGGGATTTTAGAAGAGATTAGGAAGGTGCRTTTTTGTTATTTTGTCTTTAACAAGCTTATATCCTTGTCTTATGCTTATTGCTATGATTATTTGATCTCTTATGCCGTACGCTTGACTTCATTCCATTGCCTTTTCTTTTGTTCTCGGTTTATGCCTATGCTAATGTCCYAGTAAAAACCAGGCTTAACTACAACTAAGTATGATGGAAACTATAGCGGTAAACTARTATGATCTGCGTCGGTGTTTCTAAAGAAACAGTTGTGCAAAGATAAATTTTATTACCATAATTAAAAAAGTTGGTGAAACAAAGGACGAAAAAATTTACATTTTTAGACAACTTTAACTGCAACTACCAGAATGCTTTGCCCACTTTCTTTTGTAATAATAATTAGCTGCAAGTGTTTCACTAGGGGATTACAAATCTGAATCACATAGAAAATGCGTAAGGCTTTCTCGTAGTTGTCGTTTAGCAGCGCAATCAAGGAAATGATCTATTGACCTCAACAAGATCAGTGTAAATTACTTTTATTTTGAAAAGTAATAAAAGGCTCGTAAGGGATGCCGGTACACCATGGTCCTTAAATGCAAGAAAGATCATTAGTTCATTTGGAAAATCTACTCGTAGAAAGAGATTTCTATGATGCTATRTAGTCAACTATTATTATCATTTGTTTGTTTTTGTTTCCTTGTTTGTTTGGAGACGATTTTGTCTCCGTCGGAAGATCCTACAGCACTGATATTCTTCTGCCAACTACGCGTGTTGCGTGACAAGATGCCGAGTCCATTGTCATTACGATTATTGACAATGAATCTCGGTCACGTTCATTATACTAGAATTTTTTACATTTGAAGGCTTTTTGTGGCATTGTGAACGTTGTGCATGATTTACCTGAAAGACTCTATAGATGGCTGCTTTTCACAAGAAGTTCGAAGTTATATATCTTGTACTTACAGCTCTCAAGGCATTAGGTACATTAGATCTAGACTGCGATGTTTTTATACYAGAGACTCGTGCGTTTACACGAAAACTACTGTCGTTATTGAGGCGCGTTCTTTTCAAAAATATCCCGATACGGTTTTATTTTGATTGTTACGTGGAAACTACAGACCTAAATTCCTGAAAAAATACATATGTGCAGTTTCACTCAATATACGAAAACGTGTAAACTCAGCATTAGAAAATAAGATTAATGGTTTATCTGATTGCACTAAAACGTTTTAGACACTTCGAGAGTATTCGAAGCAAGTGCATATTTTTGAATATTGTTATTATTTGTGGTAAGGATTCATTCATAGTGGTGAGTTTTTTAGCAAGATCATTGCTCCTCATTATATAGTGACCTGTTGGAGTAGTGATTTTTCACCCWTTAAAATCAGCCCTGAAAGCTTTAGRCMGATCTCTTTTTTGATGAAAAATAATTCAAAACGGGTTCATTGTTAGTATTATTGATCGYTTTTACTTATTCTCATGAGATTCAAAAGATAAAAGAACGGCTGCAATGTTGGAGGAATGGACAATAGATACTAATGAGCGTGACGTAATCTAAAAATGAAATATGCGCGAACGACGAAGCGAACATAATATATTATTGGAAACTCACTTAATAATAATCTTGTTAACCAATAAAGCATTCCACTTTGTATACTTATCCCATTTCTTTAATGCTACAGATTGCATGGAAGTTGGTTGGACAATTCCTTCGTCCGTCCATGGTAAAGAAGGAGAGAGTGTTACTATAGCATGGCAAGCCGATCTCTCATCGTTTAGTGCTCCCGATGATGTTTGGTCTTATGTTAAGGTGTATCAAAAACAAGAAAATAGAGTTGACGAGTTAATGATAAAACTCTCTAAATCCGGAGTGCGAACTGTCTACCCAAAGTTTGTTGGTCGAGATTCGGACTTAAAGTTACATGTGTACCAGAAAGGAAGTGTTGTGAAAATTTTACTAAGTATCGCAAGCATAGACGAAACATCGGATGCAAGAGAATATACAGTTCTACTCGGCCAATCTGAAAATTCTGAGATGGCCACAAAGTATACCAAACTAGTTATACAGGACAGCAAGCATGAGTTATGAATAGCCAACTTTAGATGTTTTACTTTGGTTCGATAACAATGTATAATCTTGATTTATTCTTTTTGTTTCCCCGGAGCCGGCCTCGTCTGCAATTCTTTTCTTTCCAAAATATCTAAAGTCGGCTATTATCAGCATCTTTTAAAAGGTTTTGACTTTAAAGTGGCAATRTCGCTATAACCCGCCAGCCAGTAAAGTTTGCAAACTTCGCTCACACAAAAGAAACAATGAGTCGTTATATAGAGTCATGAGTGTAGCTGGCTAGTTGAGCTCCGAGGACGACGTGTSCATAAACGCACGTGCGCTTCTCAACTAAATTGCACGTGCACACTAAATTTAGTACATTTACGCTTCGACTATTTTTCACTAAATTTTACTAAATTTCACTATTTTAATTTAGTGTTGCTGCACGGATATTTTGTTTGCACTCTATCATTCAACTGGAACAGTCTTAGTAACAATACATTCTCTACACTTGGGAAATCGAATAACAAAGGAAACAATACCTCATTACAACTGTTCTAGTTGAGTCAATAAACTACTAGTCACTAAATTCATATTTAGATTAAGCCTGCAGGCAGTAAGATTTTTAAGCTATTTTTCTTTTAATCAAAAAGAACAATAGCAAATGCAATGCTCAAGGTTGTTATCATTATTGCTGTCCTGGCATCTTTATGCAGATTTGTATCTAGAGTTTTCTATCGTTAACAAAAGWGATAATTATGGAATTCAATTTTTTCCTGGCATGCTATTTTTGTTGGACAAGTACAATGCTTCTATCATGCGTGAAAAGAGCACAATTATGCGATGTTATTTATATTCGTTTTGTAATTTCTATATTTCCAACATGAAAACAAATCTTCACTGAATTCCAAATCGGCTGAAATCTGTACGGTACACATTTGATCTTCATAGATTATTCAATCAGAGATTTTCTAGAGCTTTAAAATTAAATAGAGAGCATAAATCTTTATAATCGTTAATGATTTATGATGAAATAGTAATATCCACTGTTTTTGGAAGCAAAATACCTTTATCAATCATATTCTGTRAAATAACTAACAGAAAGACGTGTGGGTTGAAGTTGAAACAAACATTGCGTCAAATTTCAATCATTTTTTTCCTGACAATGGCATTGTGTGTGAAAGATTAGGGTTTTGTATACTATGCATATTTGTTTAGTTTTCCGTAGGACGAGGAGTATCATGGAAGTACTACGTCTGGCATGGGGCTTTTTATGCCTTGTAATTATTCTACCACRAGCAGGTAAATCGATCCTTCTTCAATAGTTTGTAAACTTATATTAATCCTAACTATATTCTGAAACTATATGGAATTTTCTTACAAATAGAATAAACACTCATATGCTTTTATTAGCATACGCATCTTTCGTCCCTGACATCTTTCTTTCTGCCGARGAAGGCACATCAGATCTAGAGATGTGACTACTTATTTACTATCTACTTATTTATCTACTTATGCTGTATGGCTTATTTGTGTAGAATAAAAGCGCACTTAATCCGTAAAGATGTAATAACCTTCTATTTTGAGCAAATCGACGATTGTCAGATTTTGCAAATTAGTGTTGTTTTGTTTTGTGCAATTTCACGGATTAAATGCGTTCACTTTTCAGCTTTCAGAAGAAGAGTAAAGAAGTCCCCCAGACATGAAAATAAGCCTAAGCTAAAAGCTAAAATAATTTTAATGCTCATTGTTTGGTTGAAAAAATGCCAAAGCCGACTATTGGAAGGCCKTTTATGAAAAGTTACTATTCAAAATCATACCTTATTGATACTATTACCATCTTTAACGACATTAATCTCAAACTTAACGTTACTCCTACATGGCAGCCTTTCAAAGTATTATAAAATAATTATTTAGGTAGTACGAACGCTGTAATTGGTCGAGGGGTGTGTTTTGATATGGCCCGCTGTGAAGATCATAAATGACGTAACGTGCAATAAAGTTATCGCGGCAACTTTCAATTCGCTCAGTTCTGCTCAGTTATCTGATAATGACCTTGACCAACTTATTGACGAGTCCTAGAAGTCAAAGTTGCCCAAATATGCAACTGAACATGCTGTTAAAGTTTTACAAATTTAAAAAATCACTGTTTAAAAAAGGCGAAGAAAACGGTAATAATTAACATATATAAACCAAAATCTACCACAACATACCTGCGTTCTCGTATTTCATTGACCTACACTCAAATCTCCTAAACATGTCCTAAACAAATGCATCGTTTTCATAGCGCTATGAAGGCACATAAAATTGGTATATTTCTTAATTTATTTTTTATATTTTTATAAATGTAGTCCTTAAAATTTATTGATTTCAGTAGACTTGGATATTCTTTTCGTAAATATAATATATTTCACTAGCGTTTTTATCTTTGTAGATTCAAGCGATGAGATCAAATCTGCATGCCAAAGGACCATAATATTCTGTACCTTGAGTACAATTTGGAATTAAATAGTCACGAGTAATGTTTTGAAAGTTCTTTGATGGGGCGACTATTAATTCCAAATTGCACGAGAGGTTGTGCGATTTTTTGTTTACAGTATGTTAAAAAAGGGGTCGTCCTATTTGGGTTTGCGCTACTGAGATGATGTCAAAGACTACCGAAATTCGAAGCCGGTGACATAATTTTATACGGAACGGAAGAAAATCAATCAGTTTAGTTCAATTTTATTCAATGATCGGTATTATTACATAGAACATGTTCTAGGTCAAAAACAATTGAGACAATGATTATGAATAGGGTTTATTATGAATTATTGTATTAAAAGTCAGCTCGAAATTTCTTTTTYTCCTAGAAAAACCCATTGTGAAAATGCTTATTTGCAGTAAAAACAATAATTCCAAAAATAAACACCATGTTTACATTTTTTACATATCCAGGAAAATCTCAAAATTCGTCCATAGAGTCGTTTTCAAATTCAGAAATGTCTTTTTAAACTACGATATCATTAGTTTATAGAAGCATAAATGATAGGTGTGAATGTGTGACCGATATATRGGAAACTGGAAAAAAAAATCACAAGCACAAATCATAAGAACTGCCACCATCCCTCGAATTTAACGTGATTAACTGTAAGWTTGCGCCAACAAACAATCGTTCGCCGAACGAAATGCAAATATTTAACAATTAGACCTCGAGGTCGAGTGGACTACGAGCTAATAGCCCATAAGGCCGACTCCGCGAGGCCGAATGGGCTATTAGCTCGAAGTCCACTCGACCTCGAGGTCTAATTGTTTTAGTATAAACATAATGAAAACAAATTGAAATATCCTTAAAATAATTTATATGAGATTGATTTTCCCGCGAGTGATCTATCACAAATTAGACCATTAGTAGAGTAGCCAATCACCGCGCAGTATGAGTGATAGACCATTAGTATGTTTATATTAAAAGCAATTAGCAAACATGCATGACAATGGCAATCTGGAGATGCTACAACTTTGTCCAAAATTCCTGCTCTACAAAAATGTTTGCTAATTCGATGTTCACTCTCGTTTAACAGGCTTAGGAATAAAATCTGTACCGAAGGCTCAGAATTGCCCAATAACAATTTTAAAAACAAGCAAACTAGAACTTCCTAGTCACGTACATCAGTATCAGTCTCGATATCAGTTTCGCTCTCAGCTTCAGAATTTATATAGTATAGTAGTACTGCTTGTTAGTCAATAAAATGCTTAATAATTTTTGAGCATGAGTAGTGTGTGTGTTCCTCTAGATTAGTGTCCATGTAACTGCAAATCAGTTTTGCAATTTATAATCTTTTATAATAAATTCCATCAAAAACGGCTATCCGATTTCTTATTTTATTTTATTTATTAGACTCTGAGTCAATGGAATGGACATTACCTTCAACGACGACTGTAAGACAAGGAGAAAATGTCACATTAACTTGGTTAGCTGATTTAAAACAGTTCAGTTTTCCAAACCATCTATGGACCTATTCAAAAACTATCCAAAAGATCGGAGGGGTATCAAGGCAGATGTTGAGAGTTTCCAAAAGAACWGGACGGTTTGTTTACAGCTTCTTTCAAAATCGAGACTCTGAGTTAATTTTGAATGTAACTCAAAATGGAACTTTGGCGAAAATCAAGCTAACAATGTTGAACGTTAACGCAACGACTGATGATGCTGAATATACCGCTTTGTTAGGCCAGGAAGAAAATTCTGARCAGGCTCCCTTGTTCACCAAACTTATTGTGTATGGTAAGTTAAGTATGCAGTAAATTCATTTGAAGTTTACTTTTTAGTGAAATATCACCAACGGTTTTTCAGATCACTTCATTAATGGAAGTGCTCAAAAATCAGGCAAAATGTTTCTGAATTTTATTTTTACCGCTCCAAAGTTTACGTCCGACAGTCTTTATACTTCTAAATTGAACAGAAGGGGTTGGAAAAAAATCATTATGCATTTAAGGGCAATGATTTACCGGCATTCCTTTCGAGCTTTTGTTTATGTTTGAAGATAAAAATACATCGTAGCAAAAACGTACTCTTGATTATCTTTTTATGCTATATGAATGAAGAAATTATAATATTCGACTTACAACTTGTTTTCCAGAATATATTTACTTTGCCAATCCAAAGACTATAGTTACAGTGAACGAAGGAGATTCTGTAACCCTGACATGTAGCCCTTTAACTGGCCTACCTATTCCGACACTTAACTGGACAAAAGATGGTGTAATAGTTCAAACAGGGAGCTCACTTACTACTCCAGCTATGAATCATAATAACAATAATGAATGCTACACGTGTGTTGCATATAATGGAATCGTGGATGCAAAGACTGCTAACTTTTGCATGAATGTGCAATGTGAGTATTATTATGTTAATCTAGATTTCACTGTGCATTTTTTACATGGCCTTATATTTATACTCTAAATCATATTTATTAACTTTTACTAAATCGAACAGTTGTGTTTTCGTGTACATATAACCAAAGAAGATACAAGCTATGCTTTGTTTATTATGCGCTCAACTAACAATTAAAAAAATCGAGAGTCAACAAGTTGTGACCATCTATTTCCATCAGTTCAATTCTATTGTATTTTCCTTTGTGTCTGTATCAACAACACAACTATAGGTGAGTCAACATACTGAAAATGTAAACTAAATRCAACCTCGAATGATAAGTTGCGAATTGCATGCAAAATGACATAATTACGTCACGCTATTGCCCGTTCCGAAATTCAAAAAGGGACTAGTGACTAGTCAGAARCTCGATACCGTTTGAAGCAGACACCAGGACAAGAAAGAGCATACTAAAGTTAGTAAAGCTGCTGAGTTTGAGASTATTCGGATTAATAATTACAGAGTTTCAAGCGTTTATGACTCGAAAAAATTACAAAGAATGTATAGAGCACCTGATGGAGGTTTTGAGCAGCGTYCCCCAAAACCAGACATTCTCAGGAGCCCCGTTCCAGTCTCCTTTTGAATTTCGGTTTTAGCGCTAAGGAATATGAAAGCATATCAAAGAAAACAGAGCAATAATTGACGGTATATATCCAAATCTAATATTAGAATGATTCAATACTGTCTGATGAGTGCGTAAGCACGAAACTCGGAGTAACAGCAAATCTTGCCTCTTCGTTATTATATATATATATAAAATCTAGATAAAATTGAGAAAATATTAATAGGTCCAGATTTCCATTGTTATTGAGCATTAATTCCTCCTTTTAACATGCTTGACGTATTATGCGATAGCGTAATTATTTCAATTGTATATCAGTTATATTTTACGCGAATCATCAAAACGAAGTAAAAGTTTTATATCTGATTCATGAACACAGATCGACCACGAAATGCAACTATAACCGTTGATAGAACATCTGTGTGTCAACATGACAGAGTTAATATGTCATGTCAATCAGSACCAGCAAATCCAGTAACTTCAAGCTACAAATTTTACCACAACGGAGTGCTTGTCCAAAACAGCTCAAACAATGTCTACAGCACCAATGCAACGTACGGTTTGCCAAATCTCAATACGTTCACCTGTATCCCAAACAAYCTTCTAGGCGATGTTTTAGAAAATTCCACAATCGATGTCAACGCTAAAGGTAGGAATGTCGAGATGCAAGGATGCCAGAGATAACTGATCTGTCTATTCCAGTCAAATAATCAAACAAGTGATTTCGTTTCAGTTGCTCCAGTGATTATGCATATAACAAGCAACTCAACCGTTGTCGAGGGCTCGGATTTCAACTTGACGTGTGACGTATCTGGAACACCACCAGTTATTGTAACTTGGTCAAAAGCCGGACAACCAGACCTTCAAGGTGGATTACTCTCTTTGAAGAACATAACTCGTGATGATGAAGGAATCTACCGCTGTACAGTTACAAATGGCGCTGAATGTCCTTCAAGAAGTGCAAGAATCAACCTGACCGTATACTGTAAGTGAAAGTCGTCATTTGATTATCATCATATATAATCTAGTAAAAAAACAATAGAAATTATGATTGTGAAGGAGTTTGTGTACGCCTAATGAAAGTAGTCAGGTTCCAAAAGTTTATATAAAGGGAGCATGGGAAAGCAAATATTTGAATTTTCTTCTATTACTAATATCTTTCTTCGTCAACTCCTGTTTTCATAAAATCAGTGAGAATTATGGCAATGTTTGATGTTAGCTCTTGAAATAAGCCCGAACAGGGTATAGTTTTCAGCGATTTTACTCTGGAACAGGGTATAGTTTTCAGCGATTTCACTCTGGGACAGGGTCAGGGTTTTGAGGTCCCAGCGGCACACCCCAACCCAAGTTGGGTGGAGTACCCCCAGGGAAATAAGTCTGTGAGGTCAAATGAGTTGACGGCCGTCATTGATACCGGCTGATCGATGCTTGGCCGAGAAATATCATTTAATGGAGACYTGTTTTTACCTTGATTTAAGTCATTTTTTTGTGCTAAATTCGATGTCGCAAGAATGATGACAGGAAACCCGACAAAAGGGGAGGCTGCGAAGGAGACTATGAGAAATACTAWCTGTCGGAATTTGGCGTCGATCAGGTCAATAATAAAACGCTAGAATTTCCGAAGAAATGTATAGAATGCCGGACGCTGCGTCCGGAATATTTCTTAATTCGCATAACACCAAACTTTCTGAGTTTCTTAGACCTATTTACAGTGCGTACTTTCGTTCTATACGCCCTTTTATAAAATTTTCGATATATAACGCGCGCTCATGGCTGACGACCGTGTTTATATCAGAGGACAGAGACACGGCTTACCGGCAAAATTTTCTTTTCGCTCGAAAAATTTTATAAAGAAATATAACGGCCGCTTGTGTCTCTGTCCTCTGATATAAACACGGTGGGAGTTCGAAAAACACGAGAGAAGCAAGCTTAGAAACACGAGCGTAGCGAGTGTTTCTCTTGCTTCTCGAGTGTTTTTCAACTCCCACCGTGTTTATATCAGAGGACAGAGACACAAGCGGCCGTTTTATATTTTTTTCGAAGTAATTATACATATTTTCCGTTATACAATAATCCTGTTATTTAATTTCTTTTTATCAAAACTTTAACTATTTATATCTTTTTAAAATAAAAGAGGGAGGTGGCTAGCCACCCAATCCACTCCCCCTGGATCCGCCCCTGCAATACCTCGGAACTTATAAAAAGGGTGTATATAAGTTTTTATCTACTCTGCGAATAGAGCTACTTTTCTCACCCGCCGAGAATCTCTCGCTTCTCGGTGGGTGAGAAAAGTAGCTAGATTCTCGGCGGGTGAGAAAAGTAGCTCTGTTCGCAGAGTAAGTGAAAGTGTTATCTCACCATCGTGCGAATCAAGGGACTTGTGCCCAGTCTCCCATGGTATGAAATCGGACAATATTCTTTGGTCTCTTTGCCCTCCTTACGTTATATTGTTGCTTTTCTTCTTCAAAGAGCGGTTAAAGGAACTTTCCATTTGCCTTTGTAATTCTGGTTGCTAGTTGCGGACGTTTTGAATTATAAATCTAGTATAGAACTAGTATACAATKTTGTCAAAGATGTTAAGTTATTAAAACACTTGCATGCTTGACAATCAAGATGGCAGCTTGTGCACGAGGACATTCATCCACATTTTCCAAGGTTTTATTGCGGTCTTTGTTCTATTGTTAATGACCTAAAGCTCTTCAATGTCTGCATTTAAGCACTGGAAATCTTCATTCATCAAGACGGGCTTGAATAGTATGTGCTGTAGTTGCAAACTTAAATGAACTTGCATTGCCTTGGAGCAATTCGACAGACATTTCTGACATTTTTAAATTGTAAAAATCACACTTGAATCAGGATTTACAAGTATCAAATGATTGAAAATTTCATCATCTAAAGACTGTAAGTAAGACTTGCAATCATCAAATTTGCTTTTTTAGCATTCTATACCCTTAGAATAGGTCCATTTCTTGTGTCATTTTTGCTCTAGTCTGATTGGTTAATTAACTGCACACAATCCTGTAGTCTGATTGGCTGCCTTTTACTAGTTTTACATTGTAATTGGCTTTCCAAAACATGCAATTTGTACTCTTTTTTAATTTGCCCTCAATATCCTGAAACTTGTTCCAGTTTTGTTATGAACAAGACCAAATTTACAAGCATTTGTATGTGCAGGTCACCTGACCATAAAAACACTTGTATCTCTGCTATAAATGGCACTAGGACACTGACATTTGGTAGATTGCTATCTAAGATAGMTACTTTTTTCCATGTGCTTTAAGGATATTTCAATGAACCCAAAAAAAGGATTTTTGTGATGTCACACTTGAMTACTCTAAAGTCAAATCACACTATTTGAACCAATCAGATTTCTAGATTTGCTAGTGATTTTAAAATGGATATAATAAATCTATATTAATACCAATTGTGCTCTTTAACATTTATGTAAAGCATGACTAACATAAACCTTTTATCATAGACAAGCCTGAATCTACTACTTTTACAAATTTACTAAACAAGCACCGATTCTGTAAAGGAAATACCACAACATTAGTTTGCAATTCGACTTCTARACCACCAGCAGAATATTCATTGTATCGAAATGGTCAGCTAGTAAAAAGCAGGAGCACCAGTGGATTCTTCACTGTACCATTAAGTGAGACTGGAGACAATACGTTTGAATGTGTACCAAATAACACCGTTGGCCTTGGACCAAAAAAGAGCATCCAGCTTTTTGTAGCAGGTAATAAAATGTACTAAGCTTAGAATTATATAACAAATAAACACCTTTACTGTGTTTGCTCTGGCTAATGCAAACCGGTATKTGGTTGGGAGAATTCAATAACAGATCAGTGCTGGCAGGACCTGCAGGTTTGTAACTGCTCATGAATTCTCTCAACCACACTGCATAAAATGTTTGAATACAAATGCATTTTCAAATACATTTTATTTCTGTGTTGTAAAGAAGCAAAACCAACCTTTCAACACTTTTTTCAAGCAGAAAAGCTTAGTGGTTGTTTAAAAAGTCTACCAAAGGACAAAATGAGAAGTCTTCAAGGAATTAGAGGCCAAATATAAGCTACTCTCTTTTGTATTTTGACCAGAATGTAGCTATAAATACAAAACAGTATTTGTTGATATCTGTTTTTAAGCAGAATAATCAACAATAGCTGGATCACAAATGAAATATTTTGGAGTAATAGATATGTGATGTGACTGCCAAGTGATATTGTATAGTATGTAGGTTTTTTTTGATTATTTTGGACATCAAAATATAATCTGAAGGGCAAGGATGCAATGAGTTTGTGACTTTTTTGTTGTTGAAATAGATTGTCTACTATCTAATCTAGTTTGTATATTTCAAATATTACATGTGCTAGCTATATAATTGGTCATAACCAGTGTTGAGCTCAGCTGTGTGCACTCAATCATTTCAATGAAATATTAAATGCACTCTGAAAAGAAATAAGAGGAAAATATTAAGTAAAACAAATAGATTGCATTTTTTTTCTGTGCCTCCACATTCTCATACACAGAAGAAGTTAATATCAGTTTAATTAAAAAGGGAGTCAATTAGGTGCTCGACTTTGTCTTGTGGTGTACGTTTTAAATTAGATTACAGATGCACAGAAGAATGGAATCTTTTTAAATTGCGCACTTGCAAAGACGAAAGCTTAAAAGTATATACAGACTTACATCTTCACATGCAATTCACGAAAAATCCTTAATTACCAAAAACAACGCAAAACTCCAGTTTTGAAAGTAAATTTCATATAATCGTAACTATCATTCTCATACTCCTTAATTATTCATGAGGTATCCAGGCAATCCCTGATTGTAATTTGTACCACGTGAAGTAACTGGATACCGGAGGAAGTACTCGTACCTTGTATTCTACCTTATTTCCGGTTACTTCTACCATGTTTCCAACTACTACTAGAGTACAAACATAAAACTGTGCAACATAAATACCACTAAATAATGCTAATTCTATTGTTTTCTATTGTTTAATTAACACTATTTTGTAGTAAATAGTGGAAAGTGTTGCACACATTTAATGTACATAAATACCACTAAATACTGCTAAAATATGCTAATTCTATTGTTTTCTATTGTTTAATTAACACTATTTTGTAGTAAATAGTGGAAAGTGTTGCACACATTTAATGTTTGTACTCTAGCTAATGATAATTAAATTATTAGAAATAATCAGTTTAACATTAATTTAGTGAAAAAAGGTCTTTGATACATGACTCCCTCCCTCACGACTCGATCCCTACCGTCCAGTCTATATGCGCTGACTTTATACCATTACGTCACCGAGTTTCTGATGAGATTGCTCGAAAGATAACATAATTATAAATCTTATGGATTAGGCTTATTAGGAATGCCATTTCAGCTTTTGTTTCAGAAAGCCGTCCRGGAATTGAAGAACAACAAACGGTGCTTCATGTGTTCAAAATTAAGAAAACTGAAAACATTAGTGGAGATGCAATAAATCAATATATTTCTGTTATATGTATCATTCCTTCGCTTTTTTTCCCTCCCGAATAACTAATGAGTATGAGAAGGCTAACGCCTAGGACTGGAAATAATTGCGCGGACTTGAAATCCCGTCCAGTCCTCATTGTCGGACTTTAAACATTACTTATAAACGGATACAAAAAACAATTTTGAAGTTTGCGTGTAATCATAAACGTTGTTACTTCGATTCGTATAGAATATATAGAGTAATAAACTACGTAGTTTATTGTTAACTTCTGCGAACCTCTGTAATTAAAACAGGCAAGTTTAAATTTTTGTATTTTCAACATTGTTTGAGCTACAATAAACGTATATCTGTCTCCCAGTTGACAAAAAATACTTCAATTCAGATCCTCCATTGATCATCGTGTCACCTGCAAGTGTAATCCTTATCGARGGACAGGCATTGARGCTGTTTTGCAATGCCTMCGGACATCCAGCACMAAACATAACGTGGTACAAGAATGGTGGGAGCGTAATACAACATGGTAATACCTTGAGTATCAATAAATCGGCCAGGGCAGACGAAGGATCTTATCGATGTGTGGTGAACAACGGAGAAGAATGCAACACCGACAGTGCAGTTGCGGTCGTCACGGTCAACTGTAAGTAGAGGTTTACAGAGCAGCATGCATGATTGCTTAATTGGATCATTTTTGTTGCTGCTTGTCGTGTCATTGATTCCAAAAAGCGTATGGACAAAGCATGATAAACGGCTGCACTATAGCTGGTACTAGGTCGTTATTCCATGTCGGCTGTCAAGGTCATCGATTTATGGTCGGATTACAATGCAAGGAGAGATAGCTTATATTTTTATTTGAAAGAAACGGTCTCTGTTCGCGCTTCTTAGTAGTGTCGTAAGCATCGGTGCTGGCTTRATAARACTGCAGGTAAATGGTGTGCGGTTGTCATGTGGGGCGGTCTCTAAGGGCGGGSCGATGCATGTCATTTTACGTGGTCGAATTTTGTGTCTTTCTGGTTTGTTGGAGATCGAGGGAGAGATTGATTGCATAATGTCCGCTTGACAAAATGTAAACCAAAGATGGAAGGGTTGATGTCGTTTAAAATGGTTGTTTCCTGTTTGCTCGCTTTGTATTGCGTCAATTTTGCTGGTTGTTTTTGGGCAGGCTTGTAACTGAAGTCTTTGATGTTTGTTAGATAAACCCGAGGCAACCAAGTTTTCCAATGCTCCCAGCGCAGAGCGATTCTGCAGTGGAAATACGACAACCTTCACATGTAACTCGACCGCCAAGCCGCATGCAATAGAATACTCATTGTATCGCAACGGTCAGTTAGYAGAGGGGAGAAGCAGCACGGGGAAATTTCAAGTACAATTGAATGAGACGGGAGAACAGAATTTCACTTGCGTACCGAACAATACTGCTGGAATAGGAGAAACAAAGTCCATTCGTTTCTTCGTGGCGGGTGAGTATGGTCAGAAACGTTGTATTACTAACTAGCTGCCAATCGGCATGGAATTAACCTTGTTCAATCGCTCTAGATCCTCCATTGATCATCGTGTCACCTGCAAGTGTAATCCTTATCGAGGGACAGGCATTGAGGCTGTTTTGCAATGCCTCCGGACATCCAGCACCAAACATAACGTGGTACAAGAATGGTGGNAGTATCAATAAATCGGCCAGGGCAGACGAAGGATCTTATCGATGTGTGGTGAACAACGGAGAAGAATGCAACACCGACAGTGCAGTTGCGGTCGTCACGGTCAACTGTAAGTAGAGGTTTACAGAGCAGCATGCATGATTGCTTAATTGGATCATTTTTGTTGCTGCTTGTCGTGTCATTGATTCCAAAAAGCGTATGGACAAAGCATGATAAACGGCTGCACTAGCTGGTACTAGGTCGTTATTCCATGTCGGCTGTCAAGGTCATCGATTTATGGTCGGATTACACTGCAAGGAGAGATAGCTTATATTTTTATTTGAAAGAAACGGTCTCTGTTCGCGCTTCTTAGTAGTGTCGTAAGCATCGGTGCTGGCTTGATAAGACTGCAGGTAAATGGTGTGCGGTTGTCATGTGGGGCGGTCTCTAAGGGCGGGGCGATGCATGTCATTTTACGTGGTCGAATTTTGTGTCTTTCTGGTTTGTTGGAGATCGAGGGAGAGATTGATTGCATAATGTCCGCTTGACAAAATGTAAACCAAAGATGGAAGGGTTGATGTCGTTTAAAATGGTTGTTTCCTGTTTGCTCGCTTTGTATTGCGTCAATTTTGCTGGTTGTTTTTGGGCAGGCTTGTAACTGAAGTCTTTGATGTTTGTTAGATAAACCCGATTCAACCAAGTTTTCCAATGCTCCCAGCGCAGAGCGATTCTGCAGTGGAAATACGACAACCTTCACATGTAACTCGACCGCCAAGCCGCATGCAATAGAATACTCATTGTATCGCAACGGTCAGTTAGTAGAGGGGAGAAGCAGCACGGGGAAATTTCAAKTACAATTKAATGAGACGGGAGAACAGAATTTCACTTGCGTACCGAACAATACTGCTGGAATAGGAGAAACAAAGTCCATTCRTTTCTTCGTGGCGGGTGAGTATGGTCAGAAAAGTTAAAGTAAGTTGACGATTTTCTGTAGAAAGCTGATATGAGTGAAAAAACTTTAAACGGTTCTTGAAGCCTCGGTTTTGCGCACAATATTTCTGAAAGTAAACCAAAGTTTGTGTCTTTACTCGCCGAGACCTTTTGAAACTAAACTGCGAGAGGCGTTGTCTRTCAGAAAGTAGGATTTGAAATAGTCCACTGTTAAGGTAATCCTTATTTTGAATATGAAAATACGTTCTATTAATGTCGGGAAAATAAAGTTGATGTCATGGATCTTTCCCTTTATAAAAATTTGCACGGAAACAGGTTTATGTGAAATCGATTCAGATTCTTTTATAGTTATTGGTGTTAGGTACATGACGGTAAGGGGCCATTATCGAATAGCATCTAATTCGGGTGTGTTTTAGAACCGTTTTCAGCCGTCGGTTAAAAGGTGGAGTCGTAGAATGTCTCTATTCATATAGCATAAAATGGATTATAAAGTGAGTTTTTTTGATGATAGTACTATCTATTTTATTTTCAAACATATACCTGTGGCGAATGTCAATTGTCGAAGGGGGATTGTACGWGCATGGGTTTTGCTAATTGACCAAAAATAAGAACTGATTTATAATGCATGATAGTCTGTGGTGAGCATTGCTTTTGATTTAGTCTCAATTACTATATGCACAGTGAATCCAGTAAGTGAAATTTTGTAGTGTAAAAACAGTCTAACCATAGTCCCTTTTGGGCGTGCATTCTCCCTTCGACAATCGCCACTCTCCCCGACAACGCTTTTAAAAAAGGTGAATACAAAAGGATCCCAGTGAACCACGGCCCTTTTAAAATGTCAGGATTTGACTTTAATACTTTCATCAAGATGAGATGCCTCACGCTCTTYTGTCTAATTTGCTATTGTACAGGTTACCATCTGTGATTTTAGAAAGTTTTTTGCAAAGCTCTAACGAAATGATGACTAAATTCTATCTGTCTTAGAACCGCCTGTTATATTGGTTTCACCTCAAACGGTTAGAATAATAGAAGAACAAACGCTAAGTTTATTTTGCAATGCTTCTGGACACCCAGCACCAAACATCACGTGGTCTAAAATTGGTAAAGRTGTAGTTGGTTATGGGGACACACTAACTATCGGCAGAGTAAACCGAACGGACAGGGGTTCTTATCGCTGTTTTGTAAATAATGGAGAGGATTGCAACCCAGATAGCGCTATAGCAGAGGTTACTGTTTTATGTAAGTAAACATTCTGTTTACTGTTTTAGTGATTGTTTGATAGAGCACTAATGACATTTTCTCATTCAGAGTCTGCCGGTAAATGTAGTATTCTCACCGTTTTAAGTCCGTCTGAGTCCGTGTAAATCATTCTCGCAGGAGAAAAAGCTAATTTTTAACAAGTATTGGATGTGGTTTCTGTCAATATCAGAAATATTCAAAGTCAAGCCTATAGCTAGTGATTTACAATTTCTGAGACCTTGTTTATTCTGATATTACAAAATCGAATTCAATGATTGTTGCGAAGATGCAACGAGTGGCATTTTTTGGCGCCTTTTGTTCTTTAATTCACTGCGGACGCAACAAACAGATTATCGAAAATGTTATTGGCTAGGCAATTAACCTTTTTTATAATCTGTAGGTTGTTGGATTTTTGAATAGTTAATACAATATATTTGGATTAKTCTACGAGTCATAATAAAGTCTTTTTGATTGTATTCCTTTTGACAAGCAATCGGGTAGAAAATTACAATTTAAAATTTGTGATTGCACTAAAACACACATTTTTTTGCACTCCGTTTCAAAGTTGCAATTGAGCRAMTCTTATTATGAATTCCTCTAGGAGTGAGACAGTGATTTGGACTGTGGTTGAGACAGTGATTTGATTAATGAAAGGAGTTTGAAAACGGAAAAAAATGCATATAAGTATGCAGGCAATCTAATAAAAACTGAACAAAAGTATTTTTTCACTAGCTTAAGTTTTTAATGAGAACGCAGACGTTTCGGAATACTTTTGTTCAGTTTTTATTATGACTCCTCCTAGCTGCAATTTTAAACTATGCAGGCAATCTATTCTATCGTCTTGAGTATTTTGGAAACGATTGTATCTAGTATTTTTTCAATTTGTCTATTATTTGTTTTTTTTGTTTTGTTTTGTTTTTGTTTCTTTTCATTATGGGTTGGGTTTTGGTCGATCGATTGATTAATGTGATCTTAAATACTTACCCGTACACTTTCTTTCAGTTGCACCCATTATAACTAGTTCTTCACTCGCATCCGGGATTACCGACGAGAACGAAGATATGATCCTATTCTGCAAAGCTGATGGATTTCCATTACCGAATATAWCATGGACTAAAGGCAGTAGCCCTAAGGTTATTCACACAGGGAACACTTTAATACGTAAAGCAACACCTGAAGCTCAAGGGACATACAAATGCTCCATATCAAATGGAATTGGACCCATAAAAACCAAGGATTTCAATGT